AATTCTTATGAATTCCTGGTACGAGAAGAAAGCTGCTACTAAGGCTGAAGAGCGATTGCGGATAGTTTCTGTTGCAGCTGATATCATAAGAGAAGATATCAGGAGCAAATTTTACGAAACATCAATCTATCCAGCTACTCAGAATCTTCCAGGTAGTGTTGCGGAGGACATTCCGGAGAGTCTGCAGATTTTCCTCAACAACGTTCTACTGAAGGGGAAGACAAATAGAGATGAGAAATTGACAATAAAACGAGATAGTATCGCTCATTCCATAATATCAGCCGTACGTCCAAGATCATTCATTTCGTCTATCCAATTAGCCACTGGAATTTTTTTAATAAGAAAATTCGGTTCACGTCTAATCATTGACGTTTTGAGCAGCCTGGGCTTCTGCGCTTCATATACGAATATCAGTCTCTACGAGGCGTCTGCCGTAATGAACACGAAAAGAAAAATCGATGAAAATGTATTCATACAATTTGTGTTCGATAATGCCGATCATAATGTATGCACCGTTGATGGTTTCAATACTTTTCATAGCATGGGGGGTATTTGTTGCGTGACGCCAAAATCCGCAGTAACACATCAAGGAGAAATCCCAAAGTTAACTCGGATTCCAAGAGCTGAAGGACTAGCATCAAAGATCAACGTTCCAGTAGTATATTGTAATCGGTTAAATGGAGATCAATTAGGATTGAAATCCATTACGTTCCTAGATGTATCACAGCTGGATCTCGGTGAACGCGAACAATTTCCAACAGCATATTCTCACCATATTCTTGCGAAACCACTCAATATTGCCAACATGCCCAACTGGAGAGGGTACATGGAGATAATTAGCAGTCATCACCGGTATGATGTATCACAGATTTTCTGTTTACCGTTCGTAAATTTGCCGCCATCAGATTCGACAACAATTAACACCCTTTGCACTCGGCTGCCAGGGAATGCTTGCGATTGAATCAGAAAACTGCCTTCGTGACATTTGATCAGCCCTTGTATATTAAAGCCAGAGAAATAGTTGCCGATGATAGAGCCATCCTGACAGATGTAGTTGCAAGACTGGGAGGATTTCATATGTTGATGTCATTCCTCGGAGCTATTGGAACAATTATGGACGGTAGCGGATTAAAAGAATTTCTGTGTACAGTTTATGCTGGTAATACTGTTGACCACATGCTAACTGGCCATGCGTTCAGTCGAGCGATCAGAGGTCACCTTACCGTTTATACTGCATTGGGTTCAATCATTGCTCAGCATGGCAACAGTGTTGATGATCAGGATCGTCTGCATGTCACCAATGTACTCAGTGATTTCGCTCTCTAACCACCGACGCGACAGGAAATTGATGAGAACCAAATTTTTATTCAACTCAAAGGGAAAATCCTGAAGGTCATGGAAGAACTCGCTGATGCTGGCCGAACATCAAGGCTGTGAATGCAATATTTTCATTTTATCACTATTGTGATACAATTCATCGAAGCTGAGCGTTTAGGCAACTAGCAACTCCATCTCCAATGTGTGCGGGATATGCTGCCTATCTTCCATGCAGCCGGTCACCTAGCCTATGCCAAATCGGGTCAGATCTACCTTCAAGACATGTTGCGATTACCAAGCATTATGTCTCCTGATGAATTTCAAAAATTCACAACGGAGGGACACTTCACCATACGACGATCTGATAGGAAATGGGCAGGAATTTGGACTGACATGACCGTGGAACAAACTCTTATGCGTGTGATGAAAGTTTTTGATGGTCTCAGACAAGGTCGTGGAGTAAATAAGGAAGGGGTTTTAGCCAGGTGGATACTCGGTATGCCAGTTGCCTATGAAGTGATTGAGGCATTCGAGACATTCTGTGGAGTGAGAGCATCCACCAGTGAGCAACACACGGACTGGAGACCCAGCAACATCAAACGAGATATTGAGGATTATTTGAAAGTCGTAGCATGGCTGACTGCGCGTAATCCCTTCGCTGGTATTGAGTGTGATAAACTCATGTCCATCGCAGATGGATTATGTGCTGGGAAGGACGTCAACTGCGATAACGCAATTCAAATTGGAACTACTTCGATGAAGACAATGGCAGGAGTGAATGCTTCAGATGTGAAGCTGAAACCCACGGCGCGTGTGAAGTCAATGGCTTCTACAAAGCGGGGTATCGTAATTGACAATGAAGTTGTAGCTGTTAATACTACTTTGTTATTCTAACGGATTGCAGCGGTTATAACAGACGACAACCAGTTGGCAACACGATCTCTGAATCACAAGCTAGCTCCATTTCCTCCTGCGCTGTTTGATGATCACGGTGGCATGAGAAAATCCAACAAAGCAGATCTCTTCACTGCATTCAAGTGCCAAACCGAGAATGGCATCGATGAAACGCAGTGGAAGATCATCATCGACGGCGGATTCCTGTTGCACAAGGTGGTCTGGCCAATTGCAGCCACTTATGGGCAAATTTTCGCATTATACGAAAATTATATCAAAAACCATTACGGCTCGAATGCGATAGTTGTCTTTGATGGCTTTAAAGAAACCGATGTGGGGATAAAATCTTACGAAAGATTCAGGCGTTCGAGGACCGGCACAGGGAGTCAAGTCATTTTCGATTAGGATATGACCATCACCATGAGTCAATCTAAATTTTTATCAAATGATAAAAACAAGGATATACTCATCGACTTCCTCAAAAGCGGATTTTTAAGTGCGGGAATAGCTGTGCAACAGGGATCTGAAGATGCTGATCGATTAATTGCAGTGACTGCCGTTATAACAAATAACCTAATGAATATTTGATTCCGTTTACAGAGAGGAATTTCTAACCCTAACCCGACGACAGTAGATGTACACTCCACTTCAATTGTGCTTCCGAATGTAAGCCCTGCGATTGATGCTTTTTGCGGATAATGTAGCATTAAAAAACTTTTTTTTTCTAAAAATTTCAATTTTCTGATATTATCAATTATTTTTATCTCTATATGATTTAGGTCAGCATGCTTATAATTCTATATTAAATTATGAAACAATCGTGTAGTAATAATTAAAATTGTAAGTTGTAAATAATTAAATTACGACAGAGAAAAAATTCTAAAATTAATGGATTAATTGCGGTTGAATTTAGCCTCCGCAGAATGATAAACTTTACCATCAGACTAGATCATTTATTTAGTAAAAATTCTGAAAATAATCCCCTTTTTTCTGATTTGTAGATATTTCTTGGTCAAATTTATAAATTTTCTAATACATTTTATCTATTAATTTTAGGATTTGTTTTTCTTTGGGATGTAATATACTTTCTGTAATAAACAAATTCTGTTATAGAATTCTATCATTAAGATGTTGCCCTTCCCTTTCAATCTATAATCAATTTCCATAATTATCTCGATTCTGGACGTTTGAAAAAATTTATTGAGACACATTCTATATATATTAATGTATATTAATGTCATTACGATGATATTCTTTGGAGGAGTTATGAATTGAAAAATTGTAAATATACTATAATTTATTGGATTTTTTTAACTTCTTTTAATCCTTTGAATGTTCTGCACATAGCGCCGATGTGAGTGGGTTGCGTGCGCAGCAGGGGGTGGGCCTTGCGCTAACAGCTGATTGTTTTAGGCAATTTTAAATAGTACGTAGTTATGAATTAATTTAAAAAAAACGATAACTCCCAGGGGATAGGTTCTCGCTTATGATTTGTTGAGTTTTTCTTGCTCAACAAACTGATATTTTTTTATTCTCAATTGGATATTCTGAATGAAAGTTATTCGTGTTCTTGGCGTTAACCCTCGAATTTTCAATAGTTTTTTAATAATTAAAAATATAATTGAAACATCTAGACCCTCTCCATTTTGATGTGTTGTTCAGGGCAATATTCTGGACGTTTGGTATAAATTTCATTGAAGCGCGACTAATTTGCATTTGCAATGCTAGATTGCCTGTACTACCTCGAAATCTATTACAACCAGTAAATTTCGTGGTAGAGTCAAATGTGTCAGAAATTTCAATGAAGAGAAAAGAAAAAAAAATGTTTATTGATGGATAGAACAACACGCATTTCTACGTTTATATTTTGGTATTTTGTGTACAACATTCAATTTGAGGAGGAAAATAAATATCTAATGAAAATGAGGGGAATCGCTGCATTCTATAATTTATTTGCAATTTTTAAGAATTTCGGGAATTTTAAATATACGTCAGCGAACATGTTCAAAATTGCCTTTAGAATCTGAATTGTAATTCATTTTTACCGTGGATTGTGTATCACGAGGTGCAAGGATTGGGAGAATTAATTAAACGCCAATTTAAGAAAACAATATTTAATTACATAACTCAAGTTATATATACTTTAGGTATTAAATCGACGCGAATATAATTCTTATTCGTGGAGCTACGATTAACAGTCTCAGTGTCCAAAAGTTAACTGACTCATTCATCACGCTGGCCAGATGACCAGGCGATGACCGTGAATTTCGGGGCTCACGTGATTGCTTTCAAATGTTAGCGCGGTTGTTATTCGCAATCGCGAACATACCGCCCGTCCCGTTCTCCAGTAAATAGAACAAAAGAATTTTCAATCTGAAATAGTCTCGAAAGAATTAAATAAAATAAGATTAAAAGGGTTTAACCCCCAGGTTCACCGCCCGCCATGACGTCTCCTGCGGAGAGGGGAATCAACTTCGCTACTGGTCGAGTGTACGTTGAAGTGCTCAGCTTCACTTTTACACCTGTAAAAGTCTCAGCTTCACTTTTACGCCTGTTACTTTACCATTCTCTCTTGGGTAAGTTTCAATGACGCGGGCTAGGGGCTATTTGCTTAATGGAGTTGTATGGTCCTTGATAAGAAATAGATAATTAATTCGTGAGTTCTCCTGTTCTGTGCGTCACTTCTATCGGGTCTGCAACGTTTGGAGATATTCACTCCTCCAGCGATTCCAAAAGTTCTTGTTGAGATGCATGAACTGCCAACGCGAAAAATTGTTCGAGTTCAGTTTTCATGTGGAGGAGACTGGAACAGCGTTCAATGGTCTACCGATGAGGAAGTGTCCGGCAGTTGAGACAACGATGTCTTCAGGGTCATCGCGGAGGCGTCCAAGTGGTCTCGAATTCCAATTGCACTCGATTTTACTGAGCAGGGTAGTCCATTCCTCGAAGTTGGGCATGCAGTCGTCCAGTAATTCTTTTATCAGGTTTTTCACTGACTTCCTTCCTGCTTCCCAAAGTCCGCCGAAATATGGAGAGGTGGGAAGGATGAAGTGCCACTCGATTTTCTTGGTTGCGATGTTAGCTTGCACGTTGGCATTCTGGTACAATTCGTCTATGAATTTCCAGAGTTCACGTTCGGTTCCTTTGAAGGTATTGCCACTGTCGCTGTATAGATCCGATAGTAATCTACGATGGGACGCGAATCTATCGGATGCCGTCAAGAATGTCGGTATTGAATGGTCTGACACTATTCAGCTCCACGTGGATTGTGCGAGTGACCATACCCACGATGAGAGCGATGTAGCCCTTGTGCGGTTTATGTCCGCGTGCTGGTGTCGGGCGAGAGTTAACAGGTCTCATCATAGTCTAGCCCAGTGTGTGTGAAGGGTGGAGATGGTGTTATGCGTTCTGGCAGAAGAGCCGACATGATTTGGTGAGCGGGTTTCCCGCCGTATCTAATGTACTTCACGCATTTGTGGATATGGTTCTTGATAAGGCATCTCGCATTCAGCACCCAATACTATTGTCTCAGGATGCTCAGAGTCAGCTGGAAATCTCCGTGTAGTGTTTTTCAGTGAATATCATCAATGAGGAGAGCTGCGATTCTTCCTGCTGGCAGAATTATCGGATATTCCTCCTTGTACAAGAATGATGCTTTAGAAATACATCAGTTTATTCTCATGATGCCATTGTTATCTATCACAGGGTGGAGTGGGATCAGTTTATCCTTCGTTGGAGTTTGCTGATCCGCTTGCAGGAGGTCAATTTGGCTCTGAAACGCACCTCAATGCGTTTTGTTTGATCCAGAAATCATGCGATTTCTCCATTAAAGTATTGAATGAGAGACGTAGTTGATGCCTTCTTAATGGGTTCAAGGGTTTCAAGCAGTAGGCTGTGATTCTCAGGATCTTCTGCCATGAGGAGATACGGTGAGGTAACTCAAGAATGTCTCTTGTCTCATGATCACCAAGCGCTTGTGTTTGTCGCGTTGTAGCACATCCTGTGACATTGTCTCTCTCCTTGGTTTTCCTTTGAAGAATTGAGTGGTCGATGACTCTCTGTTGTGGCCGTTGACTTACATCAAGTTTTAACCATTTCGGTTCATTCCACCAAAGATCATGTGTGACTACATCCGCAGGCAGAATTCGACGAAAGGCACGAGGGACTGCTCTAAGGCTCTCAGCGTGGCTAGATATACTGAGAAAAAAAATTTCTAATATCTGAAACATATTTTCTTGAGAGAAGTAAATTATTTTCAATGGCTTAAATCACAGAATGTGTGGACTTCACGGAACTCGAATAAATTTTCATTCATCGCTATCGTTCCGCATTATGTCATGAATATTTTACATATTGCAATATTGAAAGTCCATAACGAAAGAATCATGAAAACAATAAAGACTAAAACATTGATGATTCTTCTACGCGATTTAAGTTTATTTGCGATAAAATCACACTTGAGTACAAGAATATTTTAAAGCATGAGGCCTTTCTCGATTCATGTGAGTTGAGAGGCCTGAGAGAATTAAGCAATTGAAGAAAATTTACTTGTCTCAAGAAAATATGTTTCACATATTAGAAATTTTTTTCTCAGTGTAGCCATTTCCTCAGGTTCATTCCTACCGGAAAGGAACAACAGTTGTAGCTCGTTTCGGATCTTTCTAGCTTCATGACTTGACGAGGCTCCAGTCAGCATGTCATCAACGTAGAAATCACGCTCTAATTTAGCGGCGGCTCACGGGGATTTCTGTCGTTCATCCATGGCCAGTTGATTCAGCGCGCGGTTCGCCAGGAATAGTGCTGATGCAGTTCCATACGTGACTGTTTTCAAGTCATATGATTTCACTTACGTCGTGCCAGGTGGTTGCCACAGGGTTCGTTGTAGATATTGCTCCTCTGAGGCCACTATAATGTGTCGAAACATCTTCTCGATGTCTGATCTTAATGCCACTGGGTACATCCTCCATCTCACAATGACATCGAGGAGGTCAGGTAATAATTTAGGGCAAATGTATGTGATCATTAAGAGTTGATTCATTGCTGGTACGGCTAGGCGTTGAAAACAACTCTGATTGGTGATGTCGGGCTGTCTTCTCGTAATACCGCATAATGTGGTAGGTATATAGGCCTCTGGCTTGGATCTGCGTGGTACGGGGATAGTTCCATGTATCCTAAATCTTGGTATTCCATGAACAATATGTTATACTCATATTGGTGCAGTGGATTAGCACAGAATCGATTTCTCTGTCGTTCCAGGCATTTCCTCGCGGTACCGCAGGACTCACCAATATCTAGTCGTTGACCCTTCAGTGGAAGATACACTACGTATCGTCCACTCTTCTCTCACGAATGAGTGTCGTTGAAGTGGTTCTCCATTCTTTGATCCTCTTGATTATAGCCAATGAGGCTAGAGATCTCCTCAAATTCTCAGAATCTGCGAATTAATTCATCCAGGGTTCCCTCATGATGCAGTGATGAAGTGATGCATGAGCCTGTTGCTCCGGAATTCTTGAGGATATCTGGGGGCCTGAGACTACCGATCGGAATATAGTCTTTTACACCATGAGGGTATCGATATACCCTTTTCGTATTCCTTCCAGCAGAATAGCTGGATATAAATATGCTCCACTGATCACATCGATCTTCCCGTCGTCCTTGGGGTCACCATCAGCGAATGTCAGCCTTTCGAGATGATTTCATTTTACTTGGGTGAGCTCTCTTTGTGGAGCATATGATGTGCGCTTGGGAAGGACGTGAGCGATGACCGAGAGTGACGGCTTTCTTGACTGGCACGGTTCGATAGCATAAGACACTGCAGTCTTGCAGGACGTGGTCTTGTTCCGGTTAACTCCGGTAATGATGATGTTGACCTTGACCTGTGGAGCACGTAATACTTGCGCTGCTGACTTGCTGATGAACGATAACTCGGATCCTTGGTTCAGAAATGCTCTAACGATGATTGTATAACAGCCGACAGTACGAAGTCGTGCTCTTGCCGTCGCGAGCAATAATGAATTGGGGGACCGACAGATGTCGTACTGTTGACTGGTTGGTTCAAAGTATTTTTCGTGGGTTTTTTATCGGTTGCTTCAGTGTGGTCAATTTAACTGAATAAAACTCAGTAAACAACTGTTTTCGAATTTCTCCTCTATAATTTGAAATATTAATCTCAGTCGGACTGTGGATGGTCAAGTCATGGGCTCAGTGTCTTTGGTGTTAACAAATTTTGGAAGTTACGGGGTACACCGAGTAAGATCTAATGCTGTGCACAGACCTTACCTTGTAGTGCGATACAATTCACTGTCGATATATTACTTTGGCGTGTATCTCAACACTGGGAATGAACAGTGGTAGCCCCTCTGGGACAGTGGCGAAGCCAGTATTGAAACCTCCTGTATTATCGTCTCCAGGCACTTTAAAATCGAAGTCATCATCAAAAGTTATTCAAAAGAATACCCCGAGTAAACTTTCTATTGAAGATTTTCTCTTAAAAGGAAAGTCGGATGACCAGTCGATCAAACTCCACTGCACCTCATTTCATTTCATTTTCATTTTGGTCATTTATTAACCGCACATTATGTTGTACAAATCAATGCTGACAAAGTCATATAGCATGAAAAAAGCACAGTTTAAGTATACACAGAATTGAAAAGTGTAAGTAGCATACAACCAGCTGTAGCATGCAGCCCATTCTAAATACTAGATTACAGCTAATACAGAGAGCAATTGATGAGTGGTGATACAGCGGCTGGTGGAAGAATGAGTGCGAGTACATTGCCGCCAAAAGCGACAAAACACGGGGCTCCTAAGGAAAAAAAAGGGCGGAGAATCAGGGTTCATCCAACAAGTATGCACGTAGGGCAGGCTTGAAAAAACTGAATGTAGGCAAGTCTCGGAGTGATGAAGGAAGAACATTCCAAAAGTAAGCCTCAGACACATGAAGGACCTGCGCATCGATTCAGTCATGAAAGGTTTAATGACTAAGGGCATCGCCTCATCCCTCACCAGACGTACAGCTCGCCTAGCCACGAAGAAGTCCGCCAGATACTCCGGCAGGCCGGAGAATAGGACCTTGTACGTGAGATACGCCAGAAAGTACTCCCTGCGTCTCTCACAGGTCATCCAGCCAAGCCGCCGCCGGTAAGGGGTAATGCGCTCGTCTCTCATCGCCCCGAAGATGTAGCTAACCCCAAGATTGATAAGATGCTGAATCTTCAAAGACAGCTCATCCAGGAGACCCCCATAAATCAGACAGCAGTAGTCGACCACGGGAAACACAAGAGTCTCGATCAAGTGTTTTCCCAGCTCCTGAGTGGTACTGGAGCGAAAAAAGCGGAGCCGGTACATGACGGAATGAACCCTGCGTGTCATGCCAGCTACGTGCTCCTTCCAGGAGAGCTTATTGTCTAGCACAACTCGAAAAACTGCGGACAGGTGATTCAAAGGGAACACTAATGCCACCAATGTTTACGGACAGATCGGGCATAGAATATATATCGTTCACATGGAACGGAGAGCCAAAGATAATTGCCTTAGTCTTCGCGACAATTAGCTCAAGCCGGTTACGTAGGGCCCAGTCCGAGAAACACATGGCAGCCTGTTGCATCCTAGTCAAGGCATCCACCAACTCTCCGGGTACAAGGCGCAGGTAGACCTGAAGGTCATCAGCATAGATGAGATGCTGAATGCCAAACGCAAAGTTTGCACCAATATCGTTGATGAACAGGAGAAACAGCAGAGGTCCGAGAACAGAGCCCTGAGGCACTCCCCTGTTCAAACGACGGAAAGAGGATAGCTCTCCCTTCGATCGTAGTGTCACCTGAGAACGACCACTGAGGTACGAAGCAATCCAAGCAATAGCTGCAGAGGAAAAGCCGAACTTCAGTAGCTTTTGGAGCAGGAGAACATGAGACACCGAGTCAAAAGCCTTGCTAAAATAAAAAAGAAGGAGCATAGTAATCTGTCTTCCGTCTATCCCAGTCCGTATGTTGTCCACTAGTTTGAGTAAGGCAGTTTGAGTACTATTGCAGGACCGAAAGCCAGTCTGGTGTGGATCCAGGATGGCGCGCTCGTCAAGGTACCAAGGATCTGCTAGGAGGCAAGTTTCTCCAAGACCTTGGACAGAAAACATAGCAAGGCAATTGGTCGATAATCATTTGATGACGAGGGGTTTTTTACCTCGCTAAGGGCCAGAATCAAGGATCTTTTCCACTGAGAAGGAAAAGTAGAGATAGAGAAAGATGAGTTGAAGATCTTCACTAGAAAAGGTGTTAGAAACGGCAGGGAAAGCGTGACCACTGACTTCGGAATCCCATCCGAGCCTTCGGCCTCGGTGGAGAAGTGCGAGATAGCTCTTAGCAACTCATCCTCCGTGACAGGTCTAAAGGCAAACCTACCGTCAGCGGCACAGTCCTCCATGAGGGAATCGAGAAAGTCCTCTACCGGTGCTTCAGTGACGTCATATGAGATTTTCGCGAAGTGAGCATTGATGGCCTCATGATCAAGATCATTCAACGCTTCATCCACACAAACAACTCCCAGATTTCTCAGTTCCTTCCAAATGCGCGCCGGGTCAGAAAGCGGGGTAATTTTATTATGGAAAAACAGCGGACGCGCCCCCTCGATCTCCCGATGGGCACGATCTCTACCCGTGCGATAGTCTACGAGCGCGCCCCAGTAGTAGCCATAAGAGTGTTCTGGATCAAATGTGGGCGAGGGGGGCGGGCGGAAGGGGTGGTCGCGACGGCGAGGGGAAGGGGAGGCAGGGGGGGCAGCGGCAGGGGGGGCAGCGGGGGGGGGGATGTTCTTGCCGAGTGCTGGCCAGGCAATGAGAGTGGGAGAAGGAAAGTCATGCGTTGTCGCGGCAGTGGTAAGTATGCATAGGCCCCATGGAAATCAAATGTGGGCGAGGGGTGTGCGGGAAGGGGGGGGAGATGTTTTGCGTGTTGTGCTAGTGAGGGAGGTCGCTCGGAGGTGGGGGTTTCAGCTGTGCATGGGTTGGCTCAGCCTCAAGATGCGGGAAATTTTGAATACAATCGAAGCGCTCATGGTTCTTATGGAATTATCCCCCATCAAGGGAAGGTATTTTGAAAAAAAAACTAAATAAGGCATAGAATTTGTTTTTATACATATATTTTTCTTGTTATATTTTTGCAATCTTCAATATTTGTGTCGATCTTCGCCTATAGAACCGTATTTTCCTGGGATGTGGATTCTTTGTTGTAGGGCTTACTACCCTCTAAGGTTTTGGATTTCTCGAATTCCTTGCGGAATGTAGCGGTGTGCCTCTGCTGCTCTTTTAACCAACTGCTCTCCCGAGATTCTGAGTTCTGGGGTCGTTTATCCATTTTTCCATATAATTTCCTTAATGATTGATTAATAAGTTGATTAATAAGGACAAGACGATAAATTGACTGAGAATAATTTCGTTTGGTTCTTCCGTGTGGATCTCTGTGTTCTTGAAGAATTTGCAAAGGAGACAGTCTTTCTTCATTGGAGGATTGGAGGAATGATGGAGATGACATCTTCGACAATTCGCGATATCTTCATCACTTTGCATATTTTCCGGTAATTTATCCCAAGCATCCTCAATACTATGTGCAGCGCACATGAGCAAAAACTTTTTTGGTAGAATTTCTATATCTTGAGTGCCCATTCCTTCAAGACTTTTTGAGGTACAGAACATATTCAACGATCGTCGCAGACTGATACCATGATTTACAATATACCAGGTTCTCAAATTTTTCACATTTTCCAAAGCACAAACGAATGGGTCCTCGGCATCGTCATTATGAGGATGCAAACATTTCGGCAACTCGAGGTCCGATAATTTTGGACAATCCAAATCTTCCAAATCGATCACTGATTGAGAACTCCCAAGAATCTCTTCAAACCACTGTTTCTTCTATAATCCTTTTACATAGAGGTTAGCTGCATCTTTGAAAATTTCTTCAGCAATCT